CAGAAATCAACTCACACCTTAATGGTCAGTTAATATTTGACAAGATAGACAATAGCATACGATGAAGTAAAAACAGTTTCTTCAATAAATGGTGCTGGGAATATGGGACTAGTACATGCCAAAAAAAAAGAAGAAGAAGAAGAAAAGAAGGAGGAGGAGGAGAAGAAGAAGGAGGAGGAGGAAGAGGAGGGGGGGAAGAAAGAAGAAGAAAAAGAAAGAAAGAAATAGACTACCAACTTACACAATGCACAAGAAAACTAAAAATGGATAAAAGATTTAATCGCAAAACCATAAAAATCCTAGAAGAAAACATAGGTAGTAAAACCTCAGACATCTCATTTAGCAATATTTTTGTCTAGGGCAAGGGAAGCAAAGGAAAAAATAAACAAATGGTACTACATCAAACTAAAAAGCGCTGCACAGCAAAGGAAACCATCAACAAAATGAAAAGGAAATCCACCTTCTGGGAGAACATGTTTTCCAAGGATACCTGTGATAAGCGGTTAATTTCCATAATACATATATAAAGAGCTTACAAAACTCAACACCAGGAAGACAAACAACCCAATTAACAAATGGGCAAAGGACCTGCATAGACACTTCTCCAAAGAGGACATACAGAGGACCCACACACATGGGAAAAAATGCTCAAAGTCACGAGTCATCAGAGAAATGCAAATTAAAACTACAAAAAAATATCACCTTACACCTATCAGAATGTCTATCATCAATAAATCAAGAAAATAAGTGCTGGCAGGCTGGGGATACAAAGGAACCCTAGTTCACTGCTGGTGGGAATGCAGACTGGTGCAGCCACTGTGGAAAAAAGTGTGAAGTTTCCTCAGAAAACTAAAAATGGAACTGCTATTTGCCCCAGTGATCTCACTTCTGGGATTATGAGGGAGGATCGCCCAAAAAACAGAATTTATTTATAAAAAACATGCATTTATTTTTAGGTGTTTAAACTTTAGTCACTGTCAAAGTACTCTTCATTTGATGCAATACATCTATTGAGGCATTTTTTTCCACTGCTCGAAACAGTCTTTGAACTTGTCAATTTTGATGCCTTTTAGTGCTTCTCCTTTTTTTTTTTTGTTCTACATCTTCCACATTGGCAAAACGTTTCCCTTTGAGGACTTTTTTTCAGCCTGGAAAACCAAAAAACTTTGCTCAGGGAGAGATTGGGTGAATAGAGAATGTGGGGCATGGGAGGTCATGCTGTTTTTGGTCAAAAACTGCTGAACACTCAGTGCAGTGTGGACAGGTGCACTCATAACTCACCCATCATGAAATGGAAAAACATGTTGAAAGAGTCTTCAAAAAAAATTTCACTGAAGACAAACATAGCCGCTCACAATAACACATGCTGGTACACTGATACAGATGGGTTCTAAAACACTCACCTAGTGGAGGAAGCCTGTGTACAAGCAACTTGCCCTTCAGAATATAATTTCATATTTTGGGGGGTGTTGCCCCTTGTATATTCTAAGAATCTCAAAACACCGATCAGAAAGAAATATGCACCCCTATGTTCATGGCAGCATTATTTACAATAGCAAAGATGTGGAAACAGCCCAAGTACCCATTAGTAAATAAGTGGATAAACAAGCTGTGGTGCATTTACACAAGGGAATACTAACACAGCTATAATAAAGAAGGAAATCTTACCATTTTCAACAGCAGGGATGGACCTGGAGAATATTATGCTAAGCAAAATAAGCCAGTCAGAGAAAGACAAATACTATATGACCTCACTCATACCTGAAATCTAATGAACAAAATAAACTGACAAACAAAATACAACCAGAGGTATGGATACATGGAATAACTGATAGATCTCAGAGAGGAGGGGTTTGGGAGACTGAAAGAGATTAGCTGAAGAGTATATGTATATCTATATGTGTGTGTGTATATGTATATACATATATATATATATTTTCCATGGGCACAGACAACAATGTAGTGAAAGCTGGGGTGGGGGGCACTGGAGAGGGGGGAAAAAGGGGGAGAGGGGTGACCTCTGTAATAGTGTTAAAAATTAAAATAAAAATAAAAATGAAAGAAACACCAAAGACTGTAAAAAATAAAAATAAAAAACAAAAACCAGATGCAGCTGGACATGCTAACTTCTAATTCCGCCCAGCTCTCAAATTCAGACTCCAGATCCAAGTGTGAAGGCTTCTATCCCAGAATAATGGGAGAACTATTTGAAGTACCTCCTTTAGCACAGTCTGGCAATTAATTCTGGATGTTCTTCCTCAGTATTTTTTAGAGTAACAGGGAAAAGAAAAGCTTGTGTAATGCTAAGTATGGTAGCCTTTTATTCTCTATCTACTAGGATTCTACGGAGCCAGAGCCTTACGGATGACCAGTTCAGCCATGGTAACAGTTGTCATTCATTATGCACATTTATTATGCAAGATGTCATGCTCTGTGCAGTTTAAATAGCTCATTTACTCAACCAAACGGCTATTATCCATTTTACAGATGAAATAACTAAGACCTCAGGTGAGGGTAAATAACCAGATATCACACAGCTCATAAAACCATGGTAGGAATTAAAACTCATTGTTTTAACCCCTGCACTCTGTTGCCTGTTAATTAGTCAGCTTAATTATCTAATGATATGAGGGGGAGGTGTAATGAATGCTGTTGCAGTTATGAATAGTGGAAGTTTTGATCCATTTGGATATTCAAAGTGATTTAGAGCTGGCTTAGCTTTTCTTTTTGCCGTAAGAAAACAAGCAGTCTAGTACAGTCATAATGGCCTAAGCTTAAATTCAACTCTACCATTTATACCATGATATCAGATGATTTGCTAAATCTCTCTTAATCCTTTATTTCTTCATTCATGTAACAGAGGTCTCAATTGAGCCTACTGCTTAGTTATTGAGAGAATAAAATGAACCCCGTAGGTTACGCGAAGCATTCAGCACAGTGCCTGGCCATACATAGTAGGTGTTCAAAACATTGTTGAGGACCCCCTTATTCTTTTCTTCCTTTTGATGCCACTTCAACAAGTGGCAAGGCAGCATGAAATTAGGATGCTCCACCTATAAAACTTGTTAAACTCTCCTAATGAAAAGTATTCTTTTTAAACCACAGCTATGCAGTGGTAGGCAAAAGTCAATTTACAGTTGTGAGTACACAAACCAGAGTTTATTCTTTTGAGTTAATAAAGCTCTTGTTATAATCATAATATGCCTGTCTTTCTGTATGAACAACTGCAATCCTCCTTTTGCCCACCCCCGTATAAAATCACATACTTCACCACTGTATCAGATTATTAGCTAATCATCACTCACAAAGCCACACTGCAATTACATTAGTTAATTATAATTTATATAGAGTTTAATAGTAGATAAAGTAAGGTACTTTATGTTAACTCATTGGAACTTCACAAGAGTCCTGTAGGGGAAGTATAAGAAATATCCCGATTTTACACATTAGAACACATGCTCAGGAAGGTGAAGTCATATGTACATATCAGATTCAGGTATGAATGCTTCCAAATGCTGGGTTCTTTCCTTGGTCAACTTAGTGAGTCTGTACTACCCAGTTTTTTTTTTCTTAATACAATTGTTAATAAAAAAAATACAGTCAGAGCCTCAATATATATTGAAGTCGACATATACAAAAGCAAACACATATACTAGATCACCATGGAAAATGTGATTTCTTGCTACAGGCATTGGGCAAAAAATGTCTGATAAACACTGGCACTGTGTGTAGCTCCAAGTTTTTACTTGCTGTGGGAACTTGAAAAAGTCAACCTAACTGATTTATTCATTTATAAAATAAGGAGAAAAAAAATTTTGTTCTGTACTTCCTAGGAGGCTTTTTGACATTCAAGTGAAATAATAGATGAAGAAAAAATACTCTGGAAACTGTAAACTTTCTATAGTTGCGTTTGTACTTTTGTAAACTTAGATTTGGGGACCATAAGAAAGATTTGCAGATGAGATTCAGAAATTTACAGAACTCCACGATGGAGTTCTACTTTTGCAAGACTGTCGTTATCCCTTCATCCCCTGGAACAGTGTGAGCTGCTTAAGAGGAAGGAGTAAAATCTACTTGCGAACTTCCATTTCTCGTGGTTGTCCTGCCTCTTAACTATAAAGGGTAACCATTAGTTACCCATGTGACAAAAGTCCCCTCCCCCCAAACACTGTAATGTCTTGCAAAAAGCCCCAATTCGATTACTATCAAGAGCTGAATTGAAAAAAAAAAAATACATGCAACAGACATTAAGCGCCTGCACACAAGCCCAGAGTTTGGTCTTTTCCTTCAATAACCAATCGCTAGGATTTTTTTTTCTGTCACCAGTTACATATTGAATGCTCACGTATATAGACTACTAAGCCAAAAATTACAATCTTTAGACAAAAATGTTTATTTTATTACCCATCCTGTAGGCAGTGATTTATTAAGTTGGATAAATACACAGTAGCAAAAGGGTGATAAATGGTTTTCACAAATCCTAACAGGTTGGGTGGAAAAGGCCATGTAAATATACTGCTCTTCCTTGTGGAAACAATCCTTTTTAATACGATCAGATATTTCCTGAGACTTGATTATTGTTGTCCCCGAAAGGACAAAATTTCCTCTGTTCTCCAAAAATCGTGCTTAGCTCAAACTTAAAATGTTACGCAACACCATTTCTCAGCAGGAAGCGGAACAATTGGTTATCATCCCGGATTCATTTAAGACAGGCAAATATATGTGCATCACAACCATCAAGTTTCAAAGAAGCATTTGGACTGCGGACACTGTCAATTATCTTTGGAACTTGAATAGAAATTTATCAAATTTAGGAAAACAAGCGGCAACTAACCCTCCTAGGTCGGCTCCGGAGATCCGGAGCGAGTGCGTGAAGACGACTTCGGCTGCGCAATTGGCGGGGGCTGCGCAAACCAGAACCAGGGACCTATGCTCTCCCCGAACATTGTCCCTCCCAGGTTTCCTAGTCAGCCAGCAGTCGCTCTGCACTAGAGCTTGAGCCAATTGTAAAGGACCTAACCAAGTCCAGCCCAGCGGAAGGAACGGTTTCACAGTTGTTTCTCTTTGATAAAGGAGTCCGTCCTTGCCCTCGCTTCTACTCTCTCTAGTGTTAGATGTGACGGAGCCGCCCTCCTACACTCAAAACAATTTAGAGTGATTGATAAACATACCAAATCCTCGCAGCAAAAAAAAAAAAAATGGTGATGTTCATCCTGAATTGCCTCCTGCTTCTGCCCTTTCTGATCTTCTGCTTCTTGGAATCTCTCCTGAAGATTTTTATTCCTAAGAAGAGAAAATCAGTCACCGGAGAAATCGTCCTGATTACGGGAGCTGGACATGGAATCGGGAGACTGACTGCCTATGAATTTGCCAAACTTAAATGCAAACTGGTTCTGTGGGATATAAATAAGGTAATGCTGCTTTACTGTTTTACTTTCTGGTATCTTTAATTTGTGGACATGTATGCATGTATTTTGCAGGTAACAACCCTTTACAGCACAGCTGTAAAGTGTGTAGAAAAAAATTACTATTGCCATTTTATAGATGGGGAAAAACATGGATTAATTAATGTGTTTATGATCATGTGATAAATGGACTTAGTGAAGATTCTCAGTTGTGGCCCATTTGACATTGTAAATTTATCCTCACCATTGCCCCTGAAAATAATTTGTGATATACTCCTGAACTTGATTTTACTGATCCTTTGACTTTAACCATATACAAAAAGTAATAGTTTTAGCTAGTATATTAAGAGTAAGAGCTTTGTACCTATTAAGAAAAAAAATCCAACTTACAGTTACTGAGGTAAGTGGCTTTAAGTTACCCAACAGAAAGTAACAATTGCTATGCCATACTGATTTCCAAGAGTTAAAAACAATAAAAAAGAAAAAAAGTCTTCAATGTAATTTTTACCAAAATTGGTGCAGGCTTAAGGAAGAGAGGACTTAGAATCTCACCTTTTATTTGGCCAGTAGGTAATGGACAAAGAGGTTCCTGGACAGCACCTGCTGGCCTGAAATGCCATATGTTACATATTCTTTAACACCCTGTGATGTCAACAGGAATTCATGGGATGTGAAGTGAGATCAGCACCAACCTAGTGAGTGGGTGATTGCGAGAACAATCCACAAACTTTATGACTCAGCAACACCAATCTGCTAGTGTTTCCCCAGAGTACCTTTCTCCTATCTGTCCCTTTCCTTACACTCTGCTTGGCGTGCCCTGCCCCTTTTTGCATAGCTGTTCTACTCACCCTTAAGACTCAACTCAGGTACCTCTTCTTTTAGCATGGCACTGCATGCCCCTTCTCTGTGTTCCCACAACTCTCTCTGGATAGCTCTATTATTATACTTGCCACAACATATCAGTTTGAACCATACAAAACTGCCAATATTCAATCCTTTACTCTAAAGTGATAAAAATTTCATATGGTCCTACCTAAATATTATTTTATGTTTCTTTCTACTACATAGAAAGTAGTAGAACGTGTGAGCTCCCTGAAGTCAGTACTCTGATGCATTCATGTTTGTGCCCACATGGTTCTTCAACACACCTTGAATATGACTTATGTATTAAAATGTTGGAGGAGTGAATGAATTGTAGTTAACTCCTTATTTATTTATTTTGTAGCCAGAAAACTGATATCTGTGAGTAGTTTTTAGTGACAGAGAAAAAAGTTTAATGTAATTTTTAAAGCCTAATATGGAATATACATGCATTTAACTCACAATGTAAAATTCATAATAAAAATAGTATTTTTAAACTTTTGTCTTCTTTTTCAAACCTTGCTTTAAATTCAGTTCCAACTAAAAGAAGCTCTTGAAAGTACTGAGAGCAAAGTGTACCTATAACCCTGTCAAAAATATGTGTCAGGTGAATTCTTGCCCAATCCTAGTTCAAAGAATCTGTTTTCAGCTGTTGATATACATGCTCATATCATTATTTTTATTCTCCTTGCCCTCTGTTGTTTTTTCTAGCATGGAATTGAGGAAACAGCTGATGGATGCAGGAGGCTGGGTGCAAAAGCTCATGCCTTTGTGGTAGACTGCAGTAAGCGAGAAGATATTTACAGCTCAGCGAAGAAGGTGAAATTTTGCTTTTGGCTAGAATCATATTGTGTCAGAGCTGGAAGGGATTTTGGAAATGACCCAGTCATGATGCAGACAAGCTAACAGAAGTTTTGTGATTTGCTCAAGGTTGAAGAGCTAGCTAGTGGCAAACCCAGAACTAAAACCCAGACTGAGGTTACGGGGCTTTAGTGCGTTCTGGAATCCTCCAGGGAGCTTGTTAAAAAATAGTCACCCAGGAGCTTTTCGTGCAGTAGGGCAAGGTCCGGGCCCAGGAATTTGCATGTTTAGTACTATCTGCACACACACCTCACCCATCTGATTCAGACACATGTAACACTTTGGATGGCACTACAGGATCACTGACAGGGTCTTCTGAAGTCCAAGGAACTCAGGAAGATAGAATAAATCTGTTTATCAGGCTGTCATCATAAACATATCTGTTATTACAAAGCATTATTTGCCTCATCTATGTACAACTGAGATGTGCTATATGTAATGGGGTTTCCTCTGAACACTTTCATAAATGTACTTGCTATCTAAATGTGGTAATGGTAGGAAGGTCAGTAGAATTACCTGGGCAAATTTCTTAAAATACACCTTCTTGGACCTTACCCCTGCATATTCTGATTGAGGGCAGTATAAAGATCCTGATTCAGCCAAGGCTTAAGAACCTCTTGAATTTTAGGGGATTTTAAATTTGAGGACATTTTTAACTTCTGCTTTAAATTATAATCTTTTATTTCAAACTGATCCTACTATTGTTGGTTAGGCCTTAGCTAAGTCAAAAGAATAGGTAGCAATTACCCAGGCCAGTGGTGGGCCTTCCTGGAAAGGGGTGCTGTAAGACCAAGGCCTTTGGGTAAGAACTATCTGCATTTCACAATAACGCTTTTACTTAAATTACCAATGATTCCCTTTTATAGAGATGAGAGCTCTTCCAGTTAATACTAGCTATAACACCTTGGGCAAGTTACCTAACCTCTCTGTGCCTAACTTTCCTCAATTATAAAATGGGGGTCACAGCAGTACATGTCTCATAGGGTTGTCATGAGGAGTAAGTGAAGTAATGATGTAAAGTTCTTAGAACAGTACCTGGTGCTTAGTAGTCACTCTATAAGAATTACTTCTTAGTATTATGATAGAATCACTTATATTATCTATATAATTTTATTAGCCATTATTAAGAGGATTTAGTAGTGTTAGTTACCTAAATGGAAAACATTCATTTCCAGGCTCATTTGGGAATAGGATGTTTTCTGGAAAAGGTAACTTTATTATTTGAAACAATTCCATGTATTTTAAACATAGTTTTTTTTCTACTGAAATTTTTCTAAAATGAACTAAATATATGCTTAAACAGAGTTTATACAATTACATATGATTATCAGATATTTTGAAGTAGCTATTTTGATGTGGCTATCTTGGTATCAGGAAAATTTTATGCCACCTAAACAATAAAACTCTCAGTTTGCTTTCATTATTAAGTAATGCACAATTTGACACTCTCACCCCAGGGGGGACACAGTAGGTGACAATGGGGAGCTCAAGGATAAAGGAAGGGCCAAGAGGGTCTGGGCTAATACTTTGGCAATGCAAAACAGTAATACATATTTTGAGTCATGTCAATTTGGAGGCATTACAGCAGCTTCATCAATTTAACCACATAAAATGTCATTTTTCTCAAAATTTAGGGGCATTATTCTGAACAACAGTTTTCCTATTGTGTTAGAGATGTAGATATAGGTACAAATTGTGTGTTGATCAAGGGCCAAATAACTTAGCTTTTCTCTGTAATGATTTAAATACAGCCCAGTGAAACTCAGTTGTGGCTAGGGAGGCTTCACAGTGGCACATTGACGTCCTGCTGGGGTGCTCACGGTCCTCCCCCTCCTGACTTCCTGTCTGCACACCGTTTCAGGCTTGTTTTGATCTCTGAGGTCAGAAAATCTGGGAGAGTCCCAGCTCCATGTGACCCTTGGCAAGAAAATTAGCCATTCTATGTTTCATATTTCTTGTTAAAATGTGCACACTAAGAGTTGTTAGCTCATAGAATTGTTGAGAGTTTAGTGAGATAATGAAATTCTGTAAAATGCATAGCACTTACATATGTGAAAGCTCTTAATAAGCTAGTTGCCAGTTCCTTGTCAGTCCCCAAGCACAATGCAGCACTATCTAAAGAGGGGCAACTCTGTGAATAGAGACCAGCTTTTATTTGGAACAAATGTATAGCAAAATGCATTGCAACTTTAGGGTCCATCCACCAAGAAGCTTAGTCAAAGAACAATGAAGATAAAGGAGCAATAGAATGGAGTGAACATAAAAATAGATGATGTAGCTGGCATAATGGTGTAATCAGTTTTACATAGTTCCTCATAACAGTCCCTGCATTTGCCAATTAATTAACCTTGTTTTTTGGGGGGGTTTTGCTTACCTTTTAAAGTAGTATTTAAAAAATAGCCCTGGCTGGTTTGTCACTGGTTGTGTTTTTGTTAGCCAAATACCTCTTGAGCTATAATCAATAGAGCAAAGTCAAGAGACTAAATTGCAAAATAATATTTTTACTTAGCAAACTTTCAAGCAGAACTATTTTGAAATAAAGTACCTAAAATTAAAAGGTTCTTTTTTTCAACTTTGCACACAGATTCAATACTACTTTTTTTCCCCACAACAAATAAAAAATACATACTTCTTTAATAGTCATTGCATGCAAGCCTGCCCTCATGCTTATTAATGATGTAGATATTTTTCTTATTTTATTTTTAAAGGTGAAGGCAGAAATTGGGGATGTTAGTATTCTAGTCAATAATGCTGGTGTGGTCTATGCATCAGATTTGTTTGCTACACAAGACCCTCAGATTGAAAAGACTTTTGAAGTTAATGTACTTGCACACTTCTGGGTAAGTATAATTTCCTTTACAAAAAACGTTCCCTTTTGTAAAACTCAAAGATTAAGTTTAAAGTGAAGCTTTCGGGAGATATAAGGACATATCAACTCAGTACTCAAGTTTTCTCCAGGTACCAGGGATAACATACAAAAAGATCATTTTTCATGCTACAATCAGATCTCATCAGTTATTCTTCCTCCCCCCAATAAATATTCATAATAATAATAAATAGTAAACTTAAGGCGCTATATATGTTTTAATTCTAAGCTAGATTCTCATTTCTCTGTTTAGAGATGGAGGAGGGATTAGGGACCATCTGCATCATCTGTGATTTTGTAAAAGAGGAACCCAGTTTGCTTTCAGACTCTCATGAGACCCAGGCCTCTTGTTACATCCTGGCATCTAATGCAAACTTTATTATGAAACTCACCATTCAAGGTCTTAAATACATATACACACAGAGTTTCTGAGGAGTCTAAATACTGCCCACATAGTCAGTTCCTAAAAGGGTCCCTCAAGGTTTTTTTGGGTGTGAGTTTAAGATGAGTAATCTCAAAAGAATATTGGAGTTAGTTGGTGAAAATGCAGTATTATGTTTACATTCCTAAATTATTCACATCTGTCTTTGTATTTTTATGACTTAAGAGTTCTCCCACATTCTGCCTCTTTTGAAATGCAGGGTATTGTCTTATTTGTTTCTGAATTCCTATCACATAGTAGGTGCTCAATAAATATTTATTTGTGAATCATTCAGTAACTACTGGAAGATTGCTATTCACTTTAATATTTTGATGACATAACCAAACTCTTTTCCAACAATTTCACGTTAAGATAGAAGACATAATTAATCAAAGGTAGAAGTCAGTGGACATATGTTATTCACAATTTAAATGAGATGGATTCTTAAAGTTTTCAGTATTCGTTGTTTACCTTAATTTTTCTAATCTGGGCACCCTACCCAGTTGTCTTATTTTGCCAAGTTTGGCAGTTAATCTAGGTTTCTATTTATGCCAGGAACAATGTTACAAAATATAACTTTATTTCAAAATATTCCCAATGGATTTGTGAATCAGAAATAGAAATATTTTTTTCTGTCTTATAAAAACTATTTCTAGACTACAAAGGCATTTCTTCCAGCAATGATGAAGAATAATCATGGCCATATTGTCACTGTGGCTTCAGCAGCTGGGCATACTACAGTCCCATTTTTAATGGCTTATTGGTAAGTGAACACGTGCATATTTTTCATTGGTTTCTATGCTTAGCTTTGTTGTACAAAGTCTCCTGTGCAACAACATTATCAACTGTTAATATCCTCCTCTGTTGACTGTTTTAGAGGTGGGTGCAGGGAAATTATCCAATTAGAAGCCAACTGTTTCAAGCATTTCTTATCTCTTTTTAGCAACAAGGAATTACAAAACAAGAGCAATACCATGAACACAAGTTAATATTCATAATTTTAAATAAAGTAATGTGGAAATAAAACTCTAAAGACAGAGAGAGTGCAATCTGGGAATGCTTTTGAATGCAAACAGTGGAATTGGTCTGAAAATAATTGTAATGGTTAATAATTGAAGAGCTTACTGTAGCAAACAGTGCACTTTCGTGGTGTGCCCCCCTGTACGCTGTCAAGAACTGATCGGTGTGGCCAGTGTGGCCACAGTGAGCCCTAACAGTCCTTTGGCCATTGCTGTATGTTAGCAAATAATAACTCCTAAAATTCTGAGTTATGACTGTGCAAATAAATATGCATAAAAATAATGATAAAATTTTTTTAACCTTGTGCTCTTTCTTATGAAATTAATGATCTGAATTCTAGAAACAATGTAGATATAGTTGTGTATGTAGATACAGATAATATATATAAATACTGGGTTGGCCAAAATGTCCATAATATAAAAGACACATTTTTCATTTTCACCAATAACTTTATTACTTTGGATATTTTGAGTATTTTGGCTATCTCCTGTGTGGTAGAGTGTTGATTGTTTTCAGTTGATCTGATTACTCTTAAGTTCAACTAGTCGTCCTGACCATGAGCATTGTCCAGTGAGAAATCTCCAGCAGGGAACTTTGCAAGCGACAGCACCTTCTCCATACACTGCACAAACCCTTTTTTGTAGTTTTACCTTTCCTGAAATAATAAAGCATAGTATGCTGAAAATACTGCATATTTTTTCCATTTTCAATATGAAAATGGCTACATAAAAATTCACCAAGTTTAGTAAGTTTTTTTAAAAGCATGCTAATATGACAGTTGCCACAATACAATATAACAAAAATTTTTCTAATGAAGTTCAAGACAACTAAGTGCTACTAGAACCATCGTACGGAAAAAAACAAGTAAATTTTATGGCCAACCCAATATATAGATATAGACATGGACAGGTAACTTGTTTATATACATATATGTCTTGCATTTTAAAAGTTTGCAACGATATATACTAAAACATACCTAGAGATGGTTACTTTTAGGTAATAGCAATACAAATAATTTTTATTTTGTTCTTTTTGTTCATCTATGTGTTCTTTCTTTCTTTCTGAACATATATTTGCTTTATAATAGTTTTAAAAATATAGACTGGGATTGAGTTTTGACAAAAGAAGAAATGACTGCTGAAGCAGTCACAGAGCAGACCTATAATGTCCAGATTGTATCTTGGCTCCTTCAGAGCCACTTTAAGTTAGGCGATGAGCCCCTAGCCATCAGGGGCCAATACAATTTTACATTTACTTACTTCCTTGATGAAAGATAGCTGCAGGTGCTGCTGCTAGGCTGCTGTATGACATTCTACTGCCCTGATAAGTTCTGCCATCGTCCCCAGGTAAGCAAAGAGGATCAGAGAATTAGGCCCGTCAACCCTGCTGTGCTTCCTCCTTCCCTTGCCATAGTAAATATCGTACTTGTTTTGATTTTGATTTGATTCTACCCCACTGAGGTTTACCGTGAAAATCAAGAAAGAACATGTTTTGTGTGAGAAACAAATTTATTTTGGTGACTAGTGATGGTACTTTCAACAGAAGTACAGGTTTTCACCGAGTGTTGTCAAAGCAGGAGCAAGACACACAGTTATGCAGATTGTGCACTACACAATTCTAGCGGGCACTGTTAACAGCATTCAGGTCCTTTTAGGCTTGAATGATTTCCCAGCAGATGGCTATGAATTAACTTGAGAGGAGGGGGGCCTTTTCTAATTCACAAAGAGTCACTACTTGGGCTAAGAGGCAGGGCCACAACTACACAAGTGGTTTTTACACTTCCATCTAGGGGACAGATCTGAGGTTTGTGGGCCCTCACAGAACTGTTTGGAACCTCAGTTCTCATTAGCCTGAGCTGTTGTGTCTGTGATCCTTACTGGCCACAATTATCTTAAGTTCAGTTGACTCTGGTTATCACTACATATCTGATCAGTGGCAGGAATTCCACGGAATCACACTGAAGACTTCATCCAGTAGAAGGCAATGCTTATCAGTTGTTATTAATAATTGGGCAGTTAAACTGAGACACTGCTTTTTAAAACAAACTTTTTATTGAAGTATAACATACATTTGTAAAAATGCAGAAATCATGAGAGTACAGCTCACTGAGTTACTGTAAAGTGGACACCTCTATGTAAACACCATTCAGGTCAAAAAATAGAACATCACAAGACCCCAGAAGCTCCTTTTGGAATTTTTCCCAATCACCAATCCCTCTTTCTTTCCCAAGGGTAACTCCTATATTGACTTGTTACACCATTGATTAATTTTGCCTATTTTTGATCTTTATATACATGGAATCATACTATGTTTGTAAGATTTACCCATGTTGGTAGCTGTAGTTTAATCATTGTCATGCCTAGACAATAATTTACTATCCACACTACCCTTCCTGAACCTTTGAGTTGTTTACGGGATATGATTACTATGAGTAATGATATTCTGAATCTTGATTTAATCCATTACAATCTTGTGTGACCTTTGGCAAGTAACAAAGTGCAGAAAAAAATCAACTCTATGCTAACTGTTAGCAAATCAAAATATGCTAAAATCAATTTTAGCATATACATTATTTTGTTGCAGAAGAAGTTTAGCCATTGTTAGTATAATGAGAATGGTTTGCACAACATTGATATAATCTGGCAGCCAAGGAAAGTGGACTGGAATGTGCATGTGTGAACAATGACGATTTCACTGTACTAGTCAGTGGGGGCGGTAGACACTGTTGAGTGAGCATGTGTGCTGTGTGGCTGTCACATTCAAAATGATTGAGCAAGTAGAGCCATGAATCTGCATCAAATTTTGAACACTTATTATCTATCTGTCTATCTATCTATCTATCTATCTGTCATCTCTCTCAAAACAAATTCACCCTAAAATTCAAAAATATAAAATTCTTTTAACACATTCAAGATCATTAATTCTGAGTTTAAATATATTGCTGCATATTTGGTTGACTTAAAAAAAATTAGAAAATATACTTTAGTAAAAGAGAAAAGAATTACTGATAATCTCACCATGTAGAAATAACTTTTGTAAACATTTCTTACAGTTTTTAGGACATTTTAAATGCAGATATATAGTCATGCATTGAAAAAATCTACATACATAATCTTGCTTTTTAAAATTTAAAATGAATGTTTTGCCAGTTTTTAAATACACAAAGTCTTCCCAGAAGGTATCCAGCCTTGTAATATGAAAAGTAGACATTTACTGAAGAAGATACAAGGTACAAGGAACATTGTACATAGGACAATGATGCCTCAGTCCTTCTTAAAGTAGGCACCTTGGGATCTCACACAGTTCTCCCACTCATCATCAGCTGCTCTGTTGTATTTTCCTGATTCTCATCAATGATCTGAAATCTCTTCCCTTCCAAAAGTGATTTGAGTTTTGGGAAAACCAGCAGTCACAGGGCACCAATTCTGGGCTGCAGGGGGACTGAGTCACCTGGGTGATTTGATGTTTTGCCAAAAAACTTCTGTATGAGATGTGATGCATGAGCAGGTTCTTTGCCATAATGAAGCTGCCAGTCACCAGTTGCCCATAGCTATGGCCATCTAAGTCATTCAGATAGTTTCTGTGGAGAAATGTTGAAGCTTAACGCAAAATTTGATACAGATTCATTGCTTTACTCACTCAGTCATTTTGAATGCGACGAACACACAGTACACATGCTCACTCAACAGTGTCTACCGCCCCCACTAACTAGTACAGTGAAGTCATCATTGTTCACATATGTGCATTCCAGTCCATTCTCCTTGGCTACCTGGCTACATTGATATGGCACAAACCATCCTTGCTACTAACAATACCTGGACTTTTTTTGGATAGACCTCAGTATATATGCAACATCATTTTCAATTCCTGTATGGTATACCACTGTACATATATGCCATTGTTTATTTAATTTACCCATTATTGTTGGGTAATGTATTTGTCTGGACTCTTTTAGTTGCAAGGAACACAAAATTTAAACTGACCCAGGCCAAAAGAGGAATTATTTTGCCTCTGTGATTAAAGTCACAGGTAGGCTGTCTTTCTCAGAAAAGAGAGGTGCCAGCAGTTCCAGGTAACATCCATTCAACTCCAAGTCCAGCAGATTGGGTAAAGTCATGACTTCCCAGTGATGCCTTCAAATGTTCTACTTCTCGAGTTCATTCTGACTAGACCAATTTGGATCCAGCCTCTGAATAGGTAGGGGGAGAAGGGGCATTAGCTGGCAAAATCAGAGTAATGTTGCCAGAATAAGGGAATATATGAATGCCAATGAGCAAAAACAAGAGCTGCCCACCATAGACATTTAAAATCATCTCCACACACAACATATGAAACAAATTCCTCAAGACAGACAACAGACTGATGGTCAGCAGAGGAGGAGTGGGTGTAAAGAGGGTTTATGGTGACAGATGGAAACTAGATATTTGATGGTGAGCACGATGCAGTCTATACAGATAATGAATTATAATGTTGCATTCATAAACCTATGTAATATATTATAAATCAATGTTACCTCAGTTAATTAATTTAATTAATTTAATATTGTTTCTATTTGCCTTCATGCACTGTGTACCTCAGGGACTATCCTTGGATAAATCTGTAGAAACATGAGTGATGATTTTCTTAGGATAAATACTTAAAAGGGAAATTACTGGATCTAAGAGCATGGCATATTTTAATGAATTTGATACCTTTTGCTAAATTGCCTTCCAAAAAGGCTGCCAATTAACCTGTACTTTGGAAAATAGAAAGCTGTGGAAAGCTCTCTCTTGGTTTATCTTTTTAAGTTTAGACATACATTGAAGCCCTAAAGAGAAAAGATTGCTCATTCAATTATATAAAATTAAAAATATTATGTAGTTTAAAAGACAACTTAAGCAAATAAAAATGTCCTTGTATCCTACCACTTACAGCTAGGCAAAAATCATTTTATTTTGTAATTTATATTAATTATTCTTAAAGCAAAATATTTTAATATGCATAAACCTAATGGTATTATTTTTTACACTTTCTGCTAATGTCCTTTAGCCATTTATCCATTACAATATTGTCTTACTCATTTACAAAAGTTGCCATATAGTATGGTACTATAGTATACTATATACTATAGTATATACTATACTACTATATAGTATATGGTATACTATAGTATATACTATACTATAGTATACCATATACTATACTACTATATAGTATACTATATAGTATATACTATAGTATAGTATAGTATAGTATAGTATGGTACCCTTATCCTTGTCTTACATGTTGCAAATGCTTTACCAATTTTTTTGGCTCTTAACTTGGTTGGGAGCTGATAAAGTTTAGAGTATATCATATAGAGGCCTGGTTATTGCCTAGATTTAAAGTCTGATTCTACCACTCTCTTATGTCTTTGGGCAACTTCTGTAACCACCCCTAGGGCCTTAGTTTCCTTTTTAATAAGTGGGGATCATTGTGGCATCTATTTCATGGAGTCGCTGTGGGGGTTAAATGACATAATGCGTCTGAGTAACCGAGGACCGTGTCTGGCACGTAGTCATCCATCTTAGGTATAATTATTTTTGTTTGTTTTACTTTTTCAAGGTACAAAAGATTTACATTTTATATAATTGAATCTCAAAATCTTTCTTTTTAAGTCTTCATTATATGCCTAAGCTGTAAAAAACAAGAGTGGAGGGGGTGAAAGAGAACTTTCCTTTTCATGGCTTTGTATTTTCCAAAGCACAGGTTGACTGGCAAGAATGTACAGCTGCTCTGTACATAACTGCTAATCCATGCAGATTTATAGAAGAACAATCTACCTGGTAATGCAACTGAATTGTACACTTTCAAATTTCAAATTTTCTCATCTATACTTTCACATAATTTTAAAAATTAATAATGTAATATTGTATCTCTATAAAGTTGCTTTTCAAAACACCTAACTGGAAGTGTGATGCTCACTTAAAATATGATTGATTTCCCTTCTCTTTCCAAGTGAGGGAACTGGGACAACAAGAATGGCTTTGCACTTTGATTCTTTCATTTGACAAGTACTTACTGAGCCCCTGTTTTGGCCCAGGCATTGTGCCGGGCCCTGGGGATTTACTGCAGGCCACAGTAGTCATGCAGCTTGTAGCAAAGGTATGAGGGACAGACATTCAAAAAGGATACCCTGATGAACATTAAGTTACAAATCTAAAATGTGCTGTCACAGAAAACTGAAGATTACTATACAGTGGGGAAATAATTTAGGCTAGGGGTCAGGAAAGTCCTCTTTGAAGAAGTCACACTGAGACTAAAGGAAGAATTGGTTTTATGCAGGAGCATTTTCCAATGAATTCATTGAACATATTAAAGTAAATAATGAGCAGCCTACAATGTTATTAAATTTTATGGAAAGAGAAACAACAAAATAAACATCTTACCAATTTTTTGCAGCAATACATTTAAGCTTATTCATTTGTCACTCTAATATATGATGTCGTGATGCAGTAAGTGTTCTATGTCAGTGCTTCTTAAGCTTCAACGTGCCCATAAATTTACCTGAGGATCTTCCACTGAATGCAATTGAGTGGGTCTGGGCAGGGCACTGAGATTCAGCTGCTGCCTGTGTTTCTCAGCTGAGGACCACGCTTAACTAAGGAAAACAGCCGTCCAAATTAAATACATGTAGTAATTTTCCTGAATTATTTTGTGACCTTTCTCTGTTTATTTTCAGTTCAAGCAAGTTTGCTGCTGTGGGATTTCATAGAGCTTTGACTGATGAACTGGCTGCCTTAAAAAGTACTGGAGTCAAAACATCATGTCTCTGCCCTAATTTCATAAACACTGGCTTCATCAAAAACCCAAGCACTGCGTAAGTTGAGATAGAAATAGAGATAAAAGGATTGGTGGTTGCATGAATACGAGACATTCTGTGGCTTTTCTGAAGTATTTTAATCTTAAAACACCTGAGATGCAATGCCCTGAGCTCAGCTCAGTTCTGCCTTCTGTAGGTTGTGGGAAAACAGGTGGTGAGACTCAGGGAGAGAATGTATACAAATGTAAATATGAATGAGACAGGTGAGCTTGCTAATCCTCCCTGTTCTTCTTCCCCTAAGCAGTGGTTTTTAGACTTAAGTACACATACATTTCACCAGGAGTGCTTAGGAACCATGTAGGGGACCCACCCCCAGAGATGTTGGTTTTTATTGGGTTTGGTTGGGAGGGGGTAGTTAGTAGTTGAGCTGGGGACTTGGAAGTATGTACGCATATGTCTAATGAGCATCACAGGTAATTCTGATAGACATAAATCAGAACCACAGTGTGAAAAGCACTTTCCATTGGTAATCTAGAGATTATCTTCCAAATTGACTACGAGACCATGGTCTTTCTTTGGTCAGCACATAAAATTGTAAGGATCTGCTCTGAGGTTAATTTTAATGTTTCTTCTCCTTGGGAATAGCTTTAGTATCTTTGTAAACATATTGTATGCTTTTAAAAAAATTCTAACACATATAAATAAGAAAGTTTCTTTTTAAAATTTCTTAAAACCCTCTGTCCAGTGGAAACTGCTCTTGATATTTTGATGAACATCTTTCTAGACATCTCCCTATGTACAGATTAAATGTCTAAATTTTGTGTAATTGACATACATTACACATGGGGTTCTGGAAACAATAAGTAAACTGCTCACTTTCTTCAGCATTATGTTTATAGACAATATGGTGTTAAAAACTTCAAAGTTCCTAAGAAGCTACATTTTAATTGTTCCTACCACAAAAAAGAAATGATAATTGTGTGATGTGATAGAGGTGTTAGCTCATTCTACAGTGGTAATCATATTGCAATATATAAGTGTATCATATCAACATGCTGTACACCTTAATTTTACTCAATGTGATATGTTAGTTATATCTCAATAACAATTAATTAGGAGACTTCCAGCCAAGATGGAGACAGGTAGAAATGCCTTACTTCCTTGTACAACCAAAGAAGGACAACAAATTTAAAAACAAAAAAACTCAGAAATGCCAGAAAATCAAACTGTGTGGAAGTCTGACAACCAAGGAGTTAAAGAAACTCATTCAGACTGGTAGGAGGGGTGGAAAAGGTCAGCTGGGGTGGAGAAGACACACAGCAAGTTGGTGGACCAGGCAGGCAAGGCAGCTGTTGTAGACTGAGCAGTACCACCTTCATGTGCAGATAAACCAGGAGGAACAACTGGGGAGCAAGACAGATCGTGCAACCCAGGGTTCCAACGTGGGGAACTAAAAGCCTCAAAACCTCTGGGTATAAAAACTTCTGGGTTGTGGCAGTAGGAGAAACTTCTAGCCTTGCAGGAGAGTTTGTTGGAGGAGACCCAAAGGGTCCTAGGATGTACACAAACCTACCCACCTGGGAATCAGCACCAGAAGGGCCCAATGTGCTTGTGGGTAGCGAGGGAAGTGACTGAAATCTGGCTGAGAGCAGAGCAAGCAGCATTGTTCCCTCTCTGACCCCTCCCCCACATATAGTGCCACAACACAGAGGTGGGTTGCCCCATCCTGGTGAATAACTAAGGCTCTGTTCCTTACAACATAACAGGTGTGCTGAGGCAAAGAACTGTGGCCCACATGAAAGAACAGATCAAAACTCTAGAAAAAGAACTAAGGGATAAGGAGATAGCCAACCTATCAGATGCAGAGTTCAAAACACTAGTAATCAGGATGCTCACAGAAATGATTGAGTTCACCTGCAAAATGAAGGAAGAAATGAAGGCTACCTAAAGTAAAATAAAGCAAAATGTACAGGGAACCAACAGTGAAGGGAAGGAAACTGAGACTCAAACAATTTGGAGCAGAAGGAAGAAATTAACATTCAACTAGAACAGAATGAAGAAACAAGAATTCAAAAAAATGAGGAGAGGCTTAGGAACCTCTGGGACAATTTTAAACATTCCAACATCCTAATCATAGGGGTGCCAGAAGGAGAGCAACAAGAGCAAGAAGTTGAAAACTTATTTGAACAAATAATGAAGGAAAACTTCCCCATTTTGGTGAAGGAAACAGACTTCCAGGCAATCCAGGAAGCTCAGACAGTCCCAAAGAAATTGGACCCAAGGAAGCCCACACCAAGGCACATCATAATTACATAACCCAAGATTAAAGATAAAGAGAGAATCTTAAAAGCAGCAAGAGAAAAGGAGCAAGTTACCTACAAAGAAGTTCCCGTGAGACTGGTCAGCTGACTTCTCAAAAAAAAAAACAACAACCCTGACAGGCAAGAAGGGGCTGGAAAGAAGTGTTCAAAGTCATGAAAGGCAAGGACTTACATCCAAGATTACTTTGTCCAGCAAAGCTTTCATTTAGAATGGAAGGGCAGATAAAGTGCTTCCCAGATAAGGTCAAATTAAAGGAGTTCATCATCACCAAGTCCTTATTATATGAAATGTTAAAGGGGCTTATCTAAGAAAAAGAAGAAAATCAAAACTATGAACAGTAAAATGACAACAAACTCACAACTATCAACAACCGAACCTAAAAACAAACTAAGCAAACAAACAGGAACAGAATCACCGAAATGGAGATCACCTGGAAAGTTGTCAACAGGAGAGGCGGAAAGAGGGGGGAAAGGTACAGAGAATAAGTAGCATGAATGGTAGGTATAAAATAGACAGGGAGAGGTTAAGAACAGTATAGGAAATGGAGAAGCCAGAGAACTTGTATGTACGACTCATGGACATGAACTAAGCTGGGGGTGGGGGAGAGGAATGTGGGTGGGAGGAGGGGTGTAGGGCAGAGTGGGATAAAAGGGAGAAAAAATGGGACAATTGTAACAGCATAATCAATAAAATATACTTAAAAGAAATTAATTAGTCAATTAAAAGAATTCACTAAAACTGAAAAGGGATGTCAAAAAAAGGTACCATTGCCCAGGAATAGAATTGGTCAATTTTTTTTATATTCTCAGAATTTAGATACTAAAGTAATATATTTGAGTCAAGTTTTTTCACTTAGACTGTCTTTCAGCAATTAAATACAGACAGCACATTTTTTAATTATAATTGAATGTTTTACCCTTGCCCACAGGATGATGTACAAAGCTAACCTTCATGTGGGCAGGGGTGCCCTCTCCTGGCAAAGTTCTACTACTACAATTGAAAAATAACGGAAGCTTGCTGTTGGGGGTGGGGAGGGTGGTGGTGGGGGGGTGGGGAGGGTGGGGGGGGGGTTTCCTGTAAATAGAAGCTGACAGGATTCTAGCCTAGTCACAGGAATATGACCAGGCTAAGGAAGGGTCTGGAGCTTGGTGCTGCCACATGAATTCCTTTAAAGATAAGCTGATACTAGAGTGGATGCCAAAAGCGAAGTTGGTTTTAATCTAGAAACTTAGTTCTTCTAATTAGAGGGCAGAATTTATATTCTGGACACTAAATAAAATCTAAGTTTTTAAACCTCATGACAGTACTTTGCTTAGAGAGATCAAGTCACTTGCCTGTAAGTAGGAGAGCTGAGATTCAGACCAAGTTTTTCCTTTTTACACAGACAACAACCTTTCTGAGAGAAGCAAACTGAGCCAACCTCTAAGTGACTGATCCAAAATAATTTGTGTCTTACTTATATTGGAATTTATATTGCATTTTAAGGCACAACAAGGATGTAATTTATTAGTTCTTATATTTACACATCTATCAGTGCAAAGAAGCTAGTGTACTACAAAGGTTATAACACAGCATAATCTGATTTTATTGGAATTAAGTGTGATCAAGTGTTCTAATAATTTTTGGCTGTTAAGAAATATTTTTGTTACATAAACTTGGCTCTCAAGAAATCACTTTTTCAAGCATTTATTGAAAGTCTCCCAGATACCAGGTACCTTAGTAGGTCTGGGTACCTTATTATATATAACCTAGGAGAGTTAGATTTGGCCCCAAGCCACAGTTTGCCTACCCCTGCCCTAATCCTTCTAAAAATTCTGCAAGATAAGTATTACCATGCCTATTTTATTGACAAACAGAAAGTTGGAGGAGTTAAGAAAATTGCCCAAAGCCATACAGCCCCAAAGGGGCAGACTTGAAATTCCTCCATAGGTCCTAGATTCCAAAGGCCTTACTATTCCTAGCTTTATTTTTTAACAAAATTTTAATTGAAGTTTTCTCTGAAAATAATCATTTAAAAATGTATATTAAATATTTCATTGGAAATATCTTTATTGGTTTTCTAATAATGTGTTATGATTGTAAACAAAAGTTAAGTAATATAGAGAAAAGCCCCTTCAAAGGTGTTGCTCTTCCAGAGGTAACCACTTTATTGAAAATTATATTTCCAGTTATAGCTTCCCAATTTAGGAAGCCATACTTCTTAATTTAATGCATTTTTTTTCTGGTACATGGAAACATACATACTATTCTGTAAGCTGCCCTTTTATCTTAATAATATGCTGTTGTTGCATTATTTACAATAGCCAAGATATGGAAGCAGCCCAAGTGTCCATTAGTAGATGAGTGGGTAAAACTATGGTATATTTACACAATAAAATACTACTCGGCCATAAAAAAGAAGGTTTTACCATTTGTGATGGTATGGATGGAGAACATAATGCTGAGTGAAATAAACCAGTCAAAGAACGACAAATACCATATGAGTTCGTTCACTCATATGTGGAATCTAATGAACAAAATGAACTAATACGGAAAATAGAGACAGACTCAGAGAGCAGACTGACAGCTGTTAGAGGGAGGCAGAGTTGGAGGCTGGGAGAGAGTGAGCAAAGGAGAAAAAAATCCTGAACATGGACAATAGTGTGCTGATTGCCAGGGGAAGGAGAGGTGGGGGAAGGTGGAGGAGAGTATAGAGAGATAAATAAATGGTGGTGGAAAGAGACTTGACTTGGGGTGGTGAACACAAAATACAATATACAGATGATATAGAATTGCATATCTGAAACCTATATAATTTTATTAACTGATGTCACCCATTAAATTCAATAAAAAGGAAGAGAATAGTTTATGTGGTTCAGATTGACAGTGAACTGTTCCTTGACATATTTTCCTGACCAAAATATCAAATTTATCATAAAAAAGGAAAGATCATATACAGGGTCCAGCATAATAATGGCCCATTTTTATTACAAAATCTTTTATTACAAAATCATAAGCATGTAATTCTGTAACATAACAATATCATGCTCAAGCATACCATATGACATTTTAGGTGAAATGTTCAAATTAAAACTATAAATTATTATACCCATGTTATTACCCTACCAACCACACTCAAGCAGGCATTACTTCTGCCCAACCCTGTCTATGAAGTCTGTCCAGAAATCATTCAGCCACACAAATGTCTCAGAAAAATAGAGACATTTATTGAAGACACAGGATATAAGAAACATTGTACATAGGACAGTGACGCCTCACTCCCCTTCAAAGTAGGCACCTTGGGACCTCACCCAGTTCTCCCATCATCTCCTCCACTGTTTAAAACACTGCAAAATCCTTCGTTGGAATCACTATCACCTGCCTCATTGTATTTTCCTGAATCTCATCAATGGTCTGGAATCTTTTCCCTTTCAAAGGTGATTTTAGATTTGGGAAAAGCTAGGAGTTGCAGGGCACCAAATCTGGGCTGTAGGGATGCTGAGTCACCTGGGTGATTTGATGTTTCACCAAAAAACGCTGCACGAGATATGATGCATGGGCGGGCCCGTTGTCATGATGAAGCTGTCAATCACTAATTGCCCATTGCTGTAGCTGTTTTCATCATATTGCATCTCTCAACCCACAAAGAATATTGAGGTGGACCTCCTTATTATTTGTTTGGCTTTGAGGGATGTTATGGAAAACACCTTCCCAATCAACAGTTAACATGGCCTTGATCTTGCTGTGACTTTACTGCACCTTCTTTGGGTGTGACATCCATTGGGACAACTGGGTCTTCACTTTCAGATCATAGTCATAGACCCGAGATTCATCTCCGGTTATGATCTTGAGGAAATCTGGCTCATGAGTAGTGGTTTGAATCAAGTCACTAGCAACTTCAGCACGATGTTCCTTCTGCTCGGTAGAAGAAGCCATGGAACGAATTTTGACACAACATATTTCATGCCAAGATCCTGTGTCAAAATCGTGGACACCATAGATTTTGGACTCCCCAGATCAGCTTCTAGTTCTCTCACTGTCAGTCACTGATCTTTGCTGACTGCAGCCCACACACATGCAACATTCACAGGTGTTCTGCTTATTGCAGGCCTTTCAGAATGTGGATCACTTTCAACAGATTCTTGACCATCTTTTAAACATTTGTTGCCGTTTTATTTCTTTCACACTTATTGCATTGTCTGCAAAAGCCCTCTTAATAATCCAAGTAATTTCCAGAGAGGAACATTCAAGCTTAACACAAAATTTGATGCATATTCTTTGCTCTACTCACTCAGTCATTTTGAATGTGACAGTCACACAGTACACATGCTCAATCACTGGCATCTACCACCTGCACTGACTAGTACAGTGAAGTTTTATTGTTCACGCATGTGCATTCCAGTCCACTCTCCTTGGCTGCCAGGTTCTATTGATGTTGTGCAAACCATTCTATTTAAAATGGCCAGACTTTTTCCAGCAGTCTTCCTATTTAAGCTCTGATCTCCTTCATGTATGTAATTAGCATGCTCACTTTAAAGTACAATATCACTTTTCTCGTTCGTCCCACTTTTACTTTTACTGCATATTTTTCTTTCTTAATGAACTATTCTATATTTGTTCCTAAGAAATCTCACCTAATTCTTTTTGTCTCACTTTTCTCAACGAGTCACAACATTTAAAATCTGCCTCTCCATAATGTTAGTCACCCAATGAGTTTGATGACATTGGCAAATTCAGAAGTGTAATTAATTATCGTATCTTTTTTTCCAAATCACTAGTAAAATATTAAAAACTCAGGACCAACTCTTGTGCAACTCCACACTAAATGTGTTTATTCTAACACCCATAGAACAAAGGTCACATTTTAGGGACTACCTTCTACTCAGTAGTGCATATAACAGTGCAGATGTAACATGAAACTACCGTATTTTTCAGACTATAAGATGCACTTCTGTCTCCTCCCGTCCCTTAAATTTGGGAGGAATAATGGTTGTTAATGCTGTTGTTGAGTTCTGTTTACATTTATATTGGTGAAATATTGTGTTATTTGTATTATTATTTTTCCACATTTTTTGCTTCAATTTTTTTCCCTGTTTTCCTCTAAAACCTAGGTGTGTCTTATGGTCAAAAATACGGTAAATAACAAATCTGAAAATTAAATGAAGACCTAATAAAGTGGTAAAGGTAGATAACCAAAGACAATATTAGGATTCCATGTAGAGATCAAGGACCTAGAGCCACACATATCCCTGTATTTTAATTCCTCTGACACTTTAGAAATTGTTCACTTAAAACATCCTAGTATATAATAACACTTGTAAATGGTATCTGACTTCTTTTTCAAAGCTTCTAAAGATTTAAAAGTGAATTTATGTGTTAATCTAGCTAAATTATTTTTGAGTCTTAGTTATTTTCACACTTCTCATTTGCATAACAGAGTTGTTGTAAAGCTTCAAGGAGATAACCTGTGTAAAATGTTTAGCACAGTGGGCAGCCCATGATAAGCACTAAGTAAATAGTTGTTAATATTATTAATACTAAAGCAGCTGTCATTTGCGAGCATCTGTGATGGGCTAGATGCTACAGGTCACTTACATTGTGGTTCCTATGGTAATTTAACTTGTTTAGCACTAAACTAAAGCTGAAGCCTCAGTGAAATGATTTGTTTCTGAAGACTGCTTCTGATTTCAGTTTGGGACCCACCCTGGAACCTGAGGAAGTGGTAAACAAGCTGATGGAAGGAATTCTGACTGAACAAAAAATGATTTTTATCCCATTTTCTATAAGCTTTTTAACGGTGTTGGAAAGGTAAGCAATAGTTAAGTTTGCCAGCATTATAAATATTTATCTGTTACATGTTTTTACTCAGATTTAGGACCAAATTTTTGTTAAGTACTATTAAATGGAATAAAGTTAATAAAAATAATAAGCTTAAAGAATCCATCAATTTTTAAACTACCTTTGTTAATGATTGAAGCAGGATTGGTGTTGTAATTGGGCAAATGAACTGAATCATTTCCACAAGCTTTTTTTTTAAAAGAAAGAAATTGGCATATTTTTGGAAGTCTTGTCTTATAAATGAATTAATATGAAGAAAGACAGTTTTTAAACATTAGTACATAGTGGAATCATAGGATAATAATATTGGAGGAGACTATAGTTAACTTTTATATATTCATTTAAATATACAACAGGTAATCACTGAGCTCTTATTTTGTGCAAAATAATACTGAAGCATAGAGATATCTTTAGAGACCCTTGAGCCTTGCTACTTCAGATGTGGTTCACGGCCAGCAGCATCAACACCACCTGGGAGTTCATTGGAAGTACAGAATCTCCTGTCCTCCTGAATCAGAATTTGCATTTTGATAAGATCCACAGATGATTTGTGTGCATATTTAGATTTAGAATAATTTCTTTAGAGCAGTAGTCAACTTGGGTGTGCATTGGAATTCACCTGGGAGTTTTTAAAATGCTAATATCCCAGACCCACTCCCCAGGATTCTGATTTGATTGGTCTGGAGTGTGGCCTGATCACACTGTGACTTTCCCGGTGACTTTAATGTACAGCCAAGATGGGAAACCCCTACTTTAGAGAATGCCTCATCATAACACACTGTCACCTCACTCACCTGGGAAGCTGTGTGGCAGTGAGGCTGGCCAGTGAGTGAGGGAAAACTCAAGAGACTCCTCAGGTTAAAAAGAAAAAGAAGCCTTTTTCTGTCCCTAGATTCAAGCTTCTCCAACATGGTAGGGTATCAGGATCACTGGGGAAGACAATTTAAAAACTAGATTCCTGGATCTCACCTCTTGACATTTTAATATAGGATGTTTGAGTTGAAACCCAGAAATCTGAATTTTAACAGTCAGTTGCCATAAGCAGTTGGTTCAAAGATTATACTTTGAGAACTACTGACCTAGAGACTGAAAAAAATTAGAAAACCAAAAGCATGAGGGCCTGTGTCAGGTTTTTTTTAGCCCCTTCTACTAGGAACTATGGTTGAGCATATTTTGAGTTCAGGTAGCAAAGCCCAAGGATCCCCTTGGTGAGTAAATGAATTAAAACCTCTGAGGTGTGTAGCATTTTACTTGTCACATGACCTAAGTAAGCACTCACTGATTACAGTCCCTTAGAATGTAACTCATGAAAGAAGGAATTTTGTCTGTTTTCCTCACTATATCCCCTGCACTTTGAAGAATTGATAGACACACTCGAGGCATCAAAATATTTGCTGATTGAATAAATTAATTGTTTCTTAGACCTTTAACATAGAGACCAAATGTTTGTGCTCTGGAGTTAGGTGAAGCTGTGTTTGTGCGACTTGCTTGCAACATGAACATGGATGAGTTATTTAACTTCTTTGAAGCTTAATTCCTTCATCTGTCACATGGAGATGACAATAAGACTTTAAAGGGCTATGAGGAATAAATAAAATAATGCATTCAAAATATTTAATACACTATAAATACTCAGTAAATGTTATATACTGCTATTATTTTTATAATTACCACTCTTATTAACATTGCCCTAATTTTCCTCTGACTATGAATGTTCAGTGCTCAATTTCCAAAATTTATTTTAATGCCATCTAGGCAGGTATCTGTATATAGTTACACTGACTTACATAGTCTGTCTCATTTCTCTCAGACTCATTGGAATGTGACAAGTTCCTCAATATTCTTAAGTATAGAGTGAGAAGAAAAAATTAGACTTACCAGATGCCTATCATTATTTAAGGCTTTTTATATTAACACTGATTCTTCAAATAACACTGTGGGGTAGGTGTTAATTTTTCGTGTACATGTGAGGAATTTAAATTCAAAAGTTAAATTACTTGCTCAGCATTATGCTCAAAACCAAGCATATTGTCTGCATTTCCATTGAGCAATTCTGCTTCCCCAGTCTCGAAGTAGAACACTTTAATAATATACTGGATTATAAAGTATAAAATTAGTTCCTATTCTCACTTTTTTTGCAATGTCAGCTTTTGTTTTTATTTTTGTAATTTTTAAACCTTTAGCATCTCAACTGCTCAGTTCTGTACACATCCTCTCATGGATCTTTTAAAAAATATAGAGTATATTTATTTAAAAACTAAATATTTCAAGTCACTTCTGCTCTAAAGAATTAAACCTTCCTTTTCCTTTTGAAAAGGAAATGTATTTAATTGGAAAGAGCATATAGTAGTGACTATGTGTTAAAGTTCTTAATCTTGTTTAAAATGAACATGGACATTATATATGATAAACGTAAGTATTTTAAGAGCGGATATCTTAAAATGCACTTAATATTAATTTACTAATTATGTTCATGTGTCTTTCTTTTAGGATCTTTCCTGAGCATTTCATGGCAGTTTTAAAACAAAAGGTCAATGTTAAGTTTGATGCAGTTGTTGGATATAAAAACAAAGGACAATAGCTCTGGCCTGGTAGCTCAGTTGGTAAGAGCATTGTCCCTGTACGCCAAGGTTGCTGGTTTGATCCCTGGTCAGGGCACATGCAAGAATCAACCAATGAATGTATCAATGGGTGGAACAGCAATATCTATGTTTCTCACTGTCTTTCTCTCCCTATCTTTCCTCTTCTCTCTTTCTCTAACATTAATACATTTTTTAAAAATTTGTAAAGTAATGAACAATAAGTGTTGTTTTTGAAAATTGATTTATCAGGTTTAAGTTGATTTCATCTTATATTAAACAGAATTTTAATGTTTGGACTTCTGGTTTTTCTAATTATTTTTTTCTTTGATATTGCCTTTTGAGGCTCTTGCAATCCTCACTTATTACCACTGTTTTCTAGCTGACAGCTAATTTCACATAATACAAAGAGAGAAATATCTTAGAAATTGCCTTATGGAAAATGGAGAAAAAGAATAAAAGCAGTTTTACAATAATTTCTAAGGTTTCATAGCTCATCTGAAGGCATTGCAAAATTTGTACTATAAATGATTAAGATACATTTTTATTTTTAGTTGCATTTAAATTTTATATAATTCACATGTTTCCTAACTTCACATGACGTAGGAAATATCAAATATTTATCCTACACATTACCACTGTTCCTGAGAGACACCTCACATTTCAGTGCAAAACATTTCAGCACAGGAAACTGGAGTGGACACATGTTGTGAGTGAAAAAGCATGATTGGGGTGTAAGGAAGAGAATTGGAATGTGTGCTCATAAGTGGCAACAATAATAAATGGATCCAACTTAAACTTGTGGTGTTTCCATGTCTTTGTTTTGGACAGAGCATAGCTTACCCTTCAAGTTAAAGGAAAATGGATGTGTACCCAAAGGTCTTTATTTTTTTTCCATTTTTTTAGTGTCTGAAAATATCTCATAGATATGAGACTTACTGAGATGGTAATAGAAGTTCAGAACTATAAATTGAAAATCTAAGTAGGTTTGTTGGGTTTCTATTAAAGAAAAATATTTTCAAGACTCTGAGACATGAAGAGCATACATAGGAAGTAAAGAACTTTGGTCCTTATATCAGAAAGCTCATACTTAGTAAACATATAAATCAGAGTCACTGGCCCCTGTAAAATGTAGCAAAAGGGCCACATTTAGGCATAGACACTTCATGATAAAAGATTTTGATCCATTTTGTAAGCAGGAAAGTATATTTATTCAACATGTGTTAGTTGCTATCCTAAACACTTGACTTACTGAACAAGTTAAGTAATCTCATAATGCCACTGCAGGTTTAAGGAAGGTTATACTGCAGATTCTGTAACATATAAGAATAGTTCAGAAGGTATTCTTACAGTAAATTTTTCCCTCTTTTCCATCAACTATTGGGTTGGCCAAAAAGTATGTATGATTTTTTCTATAAAATAAAAGACATTTTTCATTTTCACCAATAACATTATTGATTTGGATATTTTGAGTACATTGGCTATCTCCTGTAGGGTGTAATATTGACTGTTCTCAATTAACATCTTGTTTTGACTGCTATCAACTTCAACTGATCTACCCAATGGTGGAGCATCGTCCAGCGAGAAATCTCTAGCACAAAACTTCACAGATCGCTCTTGACACATTTGATCAGTCACAGCACTTTCTCCATACACTGTACAAATCTTTTTGTGTGTGTGTGTGTGTGTGTGTGTTTTGGTTGCATTATTAGCTTTCTTGAAATAATATAGCATAATATGCCAAAAATGTTGCATATTTTCTCCCATCTTCAACATTAAAATGACCACACAATAATTCACAATTTTTGATTTTTTTAAATCTACATTGATATGACAGCTGTCACAATAAAATCTAACAAAATTTTTCTGAATGAAGTTAAAGCCAACTAAGCACTACTAGTGCCACCTTTTGGAAAAAAAAACAAATGAACTTTTTGGCCAACCCAATACTTTCTTCTAATATAGAGAATCAAAATAGAGTTACTGTTGGATTATATTTAACATTTAGTTAATGTAAAGACACATATCAGTAAAAATGCTTACTTTCCAAATCATGATTACATTTGAATACTGTAACTTCAATCCCTCTCTGTACATTAGCCATACTGTAGTAGCACTCTACTACAGTGTCTATCAGAAACACACTAGAAGTCTGTACAGTCAGTTTCTTTTTTCTCTTTAAAGTATATTTTATTGATTATGCTATTAGTTTTCCCAATTTTCCCCCCAATATTTCCCCTCATCCTGCACCCCCCAACCTTCCAACATCCCCCTCCTTAATTCATGTCCATGGGTTGTACATATTAGTTCTTTGGCTTCTCCATTTCCTACACGATTCTTAACCTCTCCCATCTATTTTATGCCTACCAATTATGCTTCTTATTCTCTATACCTGTCCCTCCTCCCATTCTTCCTCTCTACCTCCATGTGATAACCCTCCACAGATAACCCTCCATGTGATCTCCATTTCTGTGATTCTGTTCCTGTTTGTTTGCTCAGTTTTTATTTTTGTTTTTAGGTTCAGTTGTTGCTAGTTGTGAGTTTGTTGTCATTCTATTTGGAGTTTTGATTTTCTTCTTTTTCTTAGATAAGTCCCTTTAACATTTCACATAATAAGGGCTTGGTAATGATGAACTCCTTTAACTTGACCTTATCTGGGAAGCACTTTATCTGCCCTTCCATTCTAAATTATGGCTTTGCTGGACAGAGTAATCTTGGATGTAGGTCCTTGCCTTTCATGACTTTGAATACTTCTTTCCAGCTCCTTCTTGCCTGTCAGATTTCTTTTGAGGAGTCAGCTGACCAGTCTCACGGGAACTTCTTTGTAGGTAACTTTCTCCTTTTGCTGCTTTTAATATTCTCTCCTTATCTTTAATCTTAGGTAATTTAATTATGGTGTGTCTTGGTGTGTGCTTCCTTGGGTCCAATTTCTTTAGGACTCTCTGAGCTTCCTGGATTTCCTGGAAGTCTATTTCCTTCACCAAAATGGGGAAGTTTTCCTTCATTATTTGTTCAAATAAGTTTTCAACTTCTTGCTCTTGTTGCTCTCCTTCTGGCACCCCTATGATTAGGATGTTGGAATGTTTAAAATTGTCCCAGAGGTTCCTAAGCCTCTCTTCATTTTTTTGAATTCTTGTTTCTTCATTCTGTTCTGGTTGAATGTTAATTTCTTCCTTTTGTTCCAAACAATTGATTCGAGTCCCAGTTTCCTTCCCTTCACTGTTGGTTCCCTGTACATTTTGCTTTATTTCACTTTGGTAGCCTTCATTTCTTCCTTCATTTTGCAAGTGAACTCAGTCATTTCTGTGAGCATCCTGATTACCAGTGTTTTGAACTCTGCATCAGATAGGTTGTCTATCTCTTCATCACTTAGCTCTTTTTCTGGCATTTTAATCTGTTCTTTCATTTGGGCCATATTTCTTTGACTTAGCACACTTGTTATGTTGTAGGGAAGTGGAGCCTTAGGTATTCACCCAGGCAAGGCAACCCTCTTTACTGCATTGTGGTACTGTCTGTGAGGGAGGGGTCAGAGAGGAAACAATGCAGCTGGCTTACTCAGCTCTAGCCCCACTTTTGAAAGTTCATTGGAAAGTGAGTTTCCCCCTTCATTGGAAGAGAGTTTCTCCTTTCATGGCAACCTCCACAGTAGTTTACAGCTCACTTAGTTTCCCATTCAGCCAGCTTCACCTCACCAGCATAGTCTGCCACCTTGCCCTGGGTTCTCAGCTAGTCCCACCTCACCTGTGCGGTCATGTGGCTCCTCTCTGCCCACCTAGCTGGCTGCCTGTCTCAGTCCATTCTGTCAGTGTGGGTGAATGTTTCTTTAACTCCTTGGTTGTCAGAGTTCCATGCATTTTGATTTTCTGGTACTTCTGGTTGTTTATTGGTTTTAGATTGGTTGTTATCCTCCTTTTGGTTGGGCAAGGAAGTGAAGGGTTTCTACCCTCGCCTCCATCATGACTGGAACTCTGTACAGTCACTTTCTAACTCATTTTGAAATAGATGTAATTGATTATTCTTTTAATTAAGTTATACCTGCTACAGCTTGCCAAGTGGAAGAGTGAGGAGAAAAGCTAAGGGAAAACTGACAATGAAAGTTCAGTAAGATAACTGAGGTTCAACACTTGGTTTAGCACTTGTATGAACTTTGGCCTTACCCATTATGGTTAAGTACGACTTGGATATTATGCTGACAGAATGGTAATCAGTTCTTTTTATTCAGTTTTAACCACATGCTAGGCACAGTTTGCCATTTAATTCCCCAGAAATCCTGTGTAATAGGCATTGTTGAAGGACTTGAAACAGCTGTGAACACAACTATAGTAAGCAGAAACCCAGAGTAACCTTAGAGGCTGAACAGCCTTACTCTTTTGGAAGGTGGATGATGGAATGAATGCTGAAGATGTTCTGAATTTAGTTGTTCACTTTTTAAAACAAAATTTTATTGTTATTCAATTAGTTGTCCCCATTTTTACCCCATTACTCTCCCCTGCCCTACCCACCCCCTACCTCCCACATTCAGTTCTTCTTGCCTCCAATTGTCTTTGTTAATTGATCCTTTATACATGTTCCTTGACTTGACCTTCCCCTTCTTTCCCCCATTAGCTCCCTCCCCCATCCCTCTGGTTACTGTCAGTTTGTTCTTTATGTCTCTGGTTATATTTTTATTGCTTGTTTGTTTTGTTGATTAGGTTCCACTTATAGGTGAGATTATATAATATTTGTCTTTCACCGCCTGGCTTATTTCACTTAGCATAATGCTCTCCAGATCCATCCATGGGGTTCAAAAAAGTAGGGGTTCTTTCTTTCTGCTTCATAGTATTCCTTTGTATAAATGTACCAGAGTTTTTTGATCCACTCATTTGTTTATAGGCACTTAGGCTGTTTCCAGCACTTGGCTATTGTAAATTGTGCTGCTACGAACATTGGGGTGCATAGGTCCTTATGGATTGGTGTTTCAGGGTTCTTGGGATATAATCTCAGCAGTGGAATTGCTGGGTCAAAAGGCAGTTCCAGTTTTAGTTTTCTGAGGAAATTCCGTACTATTTTCCACAGTGGCTGCACCAGTCTCCATTCTCGGGTTACCTTTCCTCTACACCCTCACCTGCACTTGTTTGTTGCTTTGTTTTTGATGGCCATTCTGACTTGTATGAAGTGGTATCTCCCTGTGATTTTAATTTGCATCTCTCTGATGGCAGTGATGCTGAGCATCCTTTCATATGTCTCTGGGCCTTCTGCATGTCCTCCTTGGAGAAGTGTCTGCTCAGGTTCTTTGCTCATGTTTCAATTGGATTTTTTG